AAAAAAAATGGAAAGTTTGCTGACCCACTTTAAATCAGTGTTTCAGTAAAAAACCAGTGAGAAACTCACATAGAAAGGAGCCTTAGTTTCCATGAGGTTAGTACTTATTACTCAGAGGAGAAACTGACATGCTCAGAGGGTCTGTTTGACTGTGGATTTTAAGACAGGGATTGATTGGGGAAATACTGATAAATTGTGGTCATTCTGAGATGACGTGACGTGACGCATCTTCCACACCTGAGAATGCTTGGCTTCCAGGCATTTTTCTCAGGGCTTTGGGGCTTGTAGAGATGAAGTACTAAGAGAAGCTGCCATTTGCAAAGTGATAGATGCATTATGTGCTGTTTAAAACTCACCAAGGACACCAGTGCCACATGGATAAAATAACAGCTACAAAATTTCCTTTTGGGCAGATAAATTAGGTTTGATTTTTAAAGACACAAAATTTATGATCTAATTACGTCAAATAAAAATAATTTGGTCAAAATTAAGTAAGACAAATTCAGAAACCAGTAACGAAAGAAAGAAAAGTAATTATTACAAAACAACTGTTCATGGCTGTTCCCACCAGGGAAGAATATCTTCCACAGTGAAGGAAGAATAATGGTGACGAAAACCATAATCCAAATGTTAGAAAGGGATGCTTTCAGTAAAGTGCCTGCCATGTAAGCAGAGGACCCAAATTTGGATCCACAGCACCACTCTAAAGCTGCACATTTGTAATTGTAGCATGAGGAGGTAAACAGACATGGGCCAATCCCAGGAGCTCACCGGCCATCCAGTCTAGCTAGTCATTAAGTTCTAGATTCAATGAGAGACCCTGTCACAAAGATAAAGTAGAATGCAATGGAAGGAGACACCCAGTGCCTACCTCTGACCTTTCCACACGCACACACATGCATATGCACCCACACACAAACACGCATGCACAGGCACACACACAGACACCACACAGGCACAGAAACACACACACACACACACACACACACACGATTCTGCCTCCCATCTGACAGCCCATGCACCAGCCCACTCAAAGTAGCTACTTTGTTAATCATGCCTAATTCATCATATGACATAGGGAAGGAAACCAGGGGTTCCAGAATAATTGAGTATTCATTCCTGGGGCTTCCCGTCCCATCATTGTTCAGGGTGGTCAGAAACACAAGCACAATGAAAATGTAGAGTGTCACCCAAAAGAGGAAAATGATGCCCTCAGATGTATGAAATCCTGACAATATCTTTAACCTCTGAGATAAACCTTTGGTGCGAAACAGCATTATATATGAAAATTGGAGTCAAGGGATCTAGATCCTAATTAAATCTTGGGTTTATCAACTCCCCAAGGCCATGCAGGTAGTATTATTGCAAATATGCTCTTATCTTAATGTCATATCTTCCTTTATGCTTGACCCTGTTTCCCAATGGAAGTAAGCATCTTCATGGTAGCAGCCACTGCACTTAGGATCCAAGATCATTCTATTCTCTATAGGTACTGCCATCTCTATTCTACATGAAGGTCAAGGAAGGAGTCTTGTACAGAGATGGACACAACGTTAAACCAAATGGCACCTTCCTCTTCAAACAGTCATTGTACTTAAATCATGATGTGATTAACAACCATGCCCTTCTTTCATGCAGACCATTGGGTTCTTTTCTTTAAAAGACTATAGAATAAGAATTAGAAAAACAATAGCCTCTCAATGGTAGCCCTGCCATCTAAGCAAGAAGCAAAGCTGTTTTTATTTATTTTATATTTTTAGCAATGTCTTAATTTGCCAGCACATTGGGACAAAAATAGTCTCTACTGGGTACAAAAATAAGAATACTTCCTTCATCCTCTTGTATTATTCTCTATTATAACTAGAAAAGAATACCATTTAGTAGTCTAATAATTTCAAGAAGCTTAGAAATATTTCATCCCTCCAAACACCATTTGATTTCAGGCAGGCTCCAGTCATACACTGTCCCACATTGCTTTTCCCCCATCCTGCAACTCACAGGTCACTGTTTTGTCTTCAGAGAAACAAGACTGATAAACTTAAGACAATCCCTAAGTAAACCATCATTCTTAATTTACAGTTTTCACTTATTCATTACTATTTTCTTTCTCCAAAGACTCAGCAGCAATCAATGATTGGTACAAAAACTCATTTTATAAAGCAGAAAACCAAGTCTTTGAAAAGACAAACTAAGCCTCAAAATGACAGTCACAATGAAAACAAAGATGGTATTCCCTTTGGTGTTCTAAGAACAGGGATTCTCATCCAGCATCCCTTCTACCTCTGAAGGCTAGGACCCAAACCTGAGGGAACAGCACACACAGAAGAATCCTGCCCTTCTGCACACAGCCTCTGGGTTCCCAACTGCTCATCTAGGTACAAGGTTTCCAGATAGAATGTATGGCTGGAAAACCAGCTCTACTCATGGCTGGGTACAACCAGCTCCAATCGCCACATCAAAACAATTGTGTTTGCACTATCACAAAAACTCATCTTGTTTCTCTCCCCTCCCCTTATTTCAAGACAAAGATTTTCATTTCAAAGGGTAGTTTGTAGGCTGAATTTCACTTGCACAGGAGACTCGACTGGGAAGACTGTTAGAGCTTTCCCTCTTCACCATCAACCAAAGGATTTGGCAGCAAACACATGCACCTCCACTTTAGAGGGAAACCAGGAGGAATGTCCACTCTATGATGTCCAGAATAGGCATCCATCATATGAACTTGTTCTCTGCCTGGCAAGCTAGACTGGCAAGCTGTGGACAGATACCGTCTTCTCAAGCTGGGATTCATCTGCTTGCTTCAGTCACTGAAAACAATTTTGACTACGGACCCTCTGTACGAGGGGAGGGGCAGAGAGAGTCAGTCACCCCTCCCACCCAATCAGTCAGCCTTAGCTGCATGGGGTGGGGGACTAAGTGGGGGAAAAAAAGGCCATGAGGCAAGTCTCTCGACATTTTGTGCCACTGCCAGGAGGTCACAGAATCTAAGCTTGGGTGTGGACTTTCCAGCACAGCCTTAAATGGGCGACCACCCAACTCTTCTGCAAGTAACCTCCAACCCCATACTCTGTTAGTAGGCCTCATTTAGCCATAAGGATGGTAGGAGGAGGGGACACGATTCAGGCGCCCTCCCAGAAGTAATTTTTAGCAACAATAGGCCACAAACTTGTCACACTATTTTCAAATGGACCAGAACAGAGAGCCAAGACAACTCAGTAGGGTCTTGGAATACAAGTGAGTTCTAAAAAGAAACAGGATTCTGAACTTCTGATATTACGTTCCTTATTGTTAATCAATTTTTTAAAAATGTCCACTTGCTATTTACTAAATTTTATGCAAGATGATCCAAAGACTAATAAAATAGCCTCCAATATTCAGGTAAGAAAGTAAGAAATAGCAAGAAAGTTGGAGAACAAATGACATGCAATTCAAGAGAAATATACAGTCACTTATTAAAGAGGGACAAGCAAAATAAAAGCAATCTGTAAAGACTTGTGTCATATAAAAGGCTACATTAGATACAATGAAAGTTGTACAGATGAGTAACACACCAGTCTTGAAGTCTTATATAACCCCAAAATACAAATATACACATGTCCCAGGGCTGAAGAGATGGCTCAGCAGTTAAGAGGACTGGCTGCTCTTGCAGGGGACCCAGATTCAATTCCCAGCCTCCACATAGTGGCTAACAGCCATCTGTAACTTCAGTTCCAGGGGCATCCTACACCCTCTTCTGATGTCTGTGGGCATTGCATGACATAAGTGCACTTACATACATGCAGGCAATACACTCATGCACAAAAAATAAAGATAATAAAATATTTTTCAAAAGAAATATACACATGTCCCAAACATACTTTTCAAAACAATACAATACACAATGAAACAAAAGTTAACTAGAGAAGTAGATATAGATAAATCAGTATTCAGCCAAGTGTGGAGGTGCACGCCCTTAGTCCCAGCACTCAGTAGTCAGAGGTAAGCGGATCTCTGTGAGTTTGAGGCTAGCTTGATCTATGTAGTGAGTTCCAGGCTAGCTAGAGCTACAGGGAGACCCTGTCTCACACTGAAAAAAAAAAGAATAGCATGAGATAGAACCAAGTCATTTAATAGTATGCCATACTAGATGTGCTTTACTAATAAATCTCGTGTCTCGGTTACTCTCTAATAACTAGATAAGTATTGTGATTGTTTCTTGAGCAGAGTAGACATTCAAGAAAACAGTTGTGGACTGGAGAGATGGCTCAGCAGTTAAGAGCACTGGCTACTCTTGCAGAGGACCCGGATTCAATTCCCAGGACCCACATGGTGGCTAACAACCATCCATAACTCCAATTCCAGGGAATCTGATTCCCTCTTCTGATCTCCACAGGCATTACATGACATGGATGCACTTATCTACATACAGACAATACACTCATACACACAAAATAAAAATAATAAATAAAATATTTTAAGTTGTTAAATTTGGCTCATAAAATGTATCCTGTGATCATTAAATTATTTTTGTCATTGTCTGCTTATAAGACAATAATTTGTGTGCTTTCTGGAATGGCCTCTAGTCATGGAATCTGGTAAGGAAAGGAGAAAGATCAAATCCTAAATCAAAGTACATGATGCCAGGAGACTTTCAAATTTTCATTTCTTCATGAACCATTAAGATGGGACATAGCTCTGCAGCAGCATCAGACATGTCATACACATACATGATGCTGAGCTACAGCAAAGCATCTGCTCAGCTTCCAACACATAATAGTTCTTTGAAGAATGAACTTCTGCCCTTGGAGACAGATATTGTCTGTCATAAAGGGGTGGTTCTGTTCTGACCTCATTTGAGGATGGAACTTTTACTCAAAATAGTGTCACCCCCAAACCCACTCTCAACGTAAGTGACCACAGAAGGAGCAGAGCCCTATAAAAAGAGAGAACGAGGCACTGCAGTTTGTCCACCTCACACTAGGCACAAGCTTTTCCAGCACCAGCTGATTCAGAGAAGCAACATGAGTCCTGGGAAGACATCGTCTCTGGTGAGTCCTGTGCGAACCTACAATGCTTTCGATTGGGACCAGGCCGTGTTTCTGGATGCCGGACTCTTAACTACGGAGATCTGTGAATCTGTTTGTATGGACTTGGAAATGAAACCTTCAGTAGATACCTAAATCTTTGTATAGCATTTTCAAGAACTGATATGCATCAGTCAGAAAGATGAGATTAAAACTGAAAGGTATCTGTATTTGGGTTAACCCACATAAGAAATGTCACATGATGCTATGTGCTAAGAAAGAATGCCTATTGAAAGTCTATTTTCCTAAGTACAAAGGATTTAATGTAATTCTCTCATGTCATTTTCTTTAATCCATAACAAAGTGGGTTACTGTTCTTAAAGACTTGAAAGCTGTAGAAGTAACTTTTATTTCTATTGTTTTATACCAAAGTCTCGGTACATCAAAAGGATTTATTCTAATTAAACACATGCGTAACTCTTCTTTAGAATAAATACGCTTTATATGTTTAAAATATTTAACTTAAAGAATTTATTTTCTGAAATCCAGTATAGAATCTTGGAACAATCAGAAAACATACCTAAGAAAACATAAGGGGGATCCGTTTTTGTACAGACGTTAGCAAGAGGTGCAAATAGCATTTCCAACATGAATATTGACAACACATGGCTTTTCTACAATCCTTTTCCCTCAAGTACACATTTGACTTTGCATGGGGTTTCGCAGAATGATAAAACTAAGAATACTGGTGAAAATGGACCTTTGCTCCTAGAAAATCAAGGTCATGTATTGTCTGATTGATGCTTGTGCCAATATTCTGATGGATGGCATAGGCTGACATTTTTACTAAAATCACTGCCATCAAGATGTTGTATATCTGTTTTCAGTCAAAAGAAAAATGTAGAAAGCTGATTTAAAAATAAAATATTCCAGGGCTGGAGAGATGGCTCAGTGGTTAAGAACACTGACTGTTCTTGCAGAAGATCTGGGTTCGAATCACAGCACCCACATGGCAACTAACAACCCAGGTTTGATTCCCAGCACCCATATAGCTACTAACACCCGTCCTGAACTCCAGTTCCAGAGGAATTTGACAGCTTCTTTTGTCCTCCGCGGGCATTGCATGGCATGGGTGCACTTACCTACATGCAGGCATAATACTCATACACATAAAATAAAAATAAGTAAAATATTAAAAAATAAATAAATAGAAATAAAAATTTATTCCATGGTTTTAGTCAAATGTTGATTACCTAAACAGCTTTTCTTATTTAAATGGACTTAAAATTTAGTATAGCTTTTTCCAGTATTATTGGTAATACTATCACCATTGTAGTAATTTATCAGCAAGATCTATATACTAATCCAGTCTCCCATCTCTCTATCTTTTCCTCTTCAGTACCAGTCACTTCTGCTGCTGAGCCTTGTAACCCTGGTGACAGCAGGATTAGCCATCCCACGAAGTTCAGGATGTCCAAATATTGATGACAATAATCTTCTGCAGAATGTGAAGATCAACCTGAGTACCCTTATTTCCGTCAGCCAGAAAGTGAATTCCAGAAGGCCTTCAGACTACCTCAACCGATCCACATCACCCTGGACTCTCCAGTACGTAAGGACTTCAGATAAAATCTGTTTTTCTGCTGTTCTGTGCCTCAGATATGCCCTGAGCATATTTTTCCCTCTTTCTCATAATCATCAGGGAAACTAGGGAGATGATTGTGCTAAGCAATGATTCTCTAAGTTTACTTCTTCGAACTTTTTAGATAGATCACAGAGCACTACACCCTGTAGCACCTAACTTGTTAGAGCTCATAACCACTGATGCTGAAATACAACTCAAATTAATGATAACCATAATTCTAGCATTTATGAGAAGTTAAATATACTGTTAAGTTTGGACATTTATCATATGAAATTAATGTTTGAATTTTCTCTACCAGACCTATGATTGAGAAGACTTACTGAAAATAATTAATGATTAGATATTTTTGTGCTGATCTTGGAAAAGGCATAAAAACACTAGGAAAAATAGAAATGAGCACTAGTGGAGAAAATATAACACTAGGTATTTTCATTTTGGAGGGGGGGTGTTTTTTGAGACAGGGCCTCCCTGTAGCCCCAACTGGCCTGGAACTCGCTATGTAGACCAGGCTGGCCTTGAACTCACAGAGATCCGCCTGCCTCTGCCTCCCAAGTGCTGGGATTAAAGGCGTGCGCCACCATGGCCTGCTCTGGAATTCTCATTTTCATTAAGAGAGACTTGATCTCCATGTACAGCACATCTATACTTGCTGTGTCTTTGGCATGCCCTGTATTTAGATCCCATAAAGGATTCAGTATAAAAGTACTTTTGTCACTTGAATTTATGCAAATAAGTCTCAGTGATAAGAATTTATAAATTCAACTGTAGGATTTCTTCTTTTTTCATTACTAAGAACAGATAAAATCAATCAATTGAAAAAGACAAAGTGGATTACATGTTCAGTTATCATAGGAAGCAGGGACAAGATTATAAAAGGACTGAAACCTTTGCTTGTAACAGTTCACGTCATCTCTGGGCTCTGTCTTCATGAAATGTTCTCAGATATAATTCTTTCACATTCCTTCTTTCAGAGATTTCATCCAGCTAAACAGACATTGTACTTCTTAATGATTCCAAGTCTTCTTTTCTCTTGTTCTTTTTTCCCCCATAATCAAATGTACCCTAAAAATGTTTCCGTTATGCCAACCTTAAATCCTCTCTGTGGTCTTTATTTTGTTCATTCTTCAAAGACATCCTTCTGAAACACTTCATGAACTCTAAAATCCAAGTTTTTGGAACTGGGAGTACAGTTCATGAATAGAATGGTTGTCTACCATGTGCAACACATTGGGTTTAATCTTCAGCACTGGAAGTT